TGAAAAAAAGTCACTTCTGGGAATATATGTAGAGGAATAGCTATTCTGTTATATGTGTCAGAGCATGCCCAGAAAGTTAATTTTGTTATTACTAGATCTATATAAGTCCTTTTCATTTCTCAGAAATCTACACTACACTGTAGGCTTAGATTTACATGCATACTTCACATTCTGTTATCGTTTTCCAGAAATAGATTACTCTTCACATACAAAAATAGCATGGAAACAGGCACAGCAAGATCTGAGATGCATCTTTACATGCACAGTGTACAAGAACTGACACCAGTTTTAAAACTCATTAACTTCTGATCAGACAAGCTGCCACATAGAATTAAACTAATAATTAATCTAATAATGAATATAGCCAATTTGATATAACATTCTTACATATTAGAATTCATTGATTTATCAGTTGGATTCTTTCACGGTTTATGATATTTTTTTACTACAACATTCTTCAGCTGATGAGCAATAAGCACTTGTCTCTTCTCCATTATTTGTTTAGATATCATCTGATGAAGTTCCTTCATATTTTCTAAAACTTAGTTGTCCATTTACCAATATAATTTGAAAATATAGCAACCTTTTGATAAAATACATGTGAATTTAAGAACACCTAGACTGATTACAAAACAAAATAAATATGTATTTAAAGGCTGTCATTCAATGTAGTGGTTGTTTGTATGCACACCATGAAACTTAGAGGAATTTATATATGCAGAATAAGCATAAACATGGAGCTAGTTCAGGAAGTGTTGTAGACAAAACATTAGGAATTGAACATGCAAACTCATATATTTTTAATCACTGAATCAACATTATGTAATTTATGTGGTTACAGTATGTAATAACATTTCCAGGACAACATATTTACATGCTTATACTTATCCAATTAACCTATAAAATTCTAGAAGTTTTTGAGTGTTCATAAATATGTTCAAATAATATAATAAGTATATATTGTGATGTTTTGTTGAACTTTAAACAAGAAATTGGTTTATGCTTCACTAAATTATATTTTTAAGATTACCCAATTTTCAGCTTGGTTCCAGTCAAATGCACCAATAGGTTTTAATTTTACAATTATGAGTGAAGAGACACATTTATAACTTTGATTTATTTGTAGAAACAAGTGTTTTTAGCATTCATCAAGACACCTGAAAAATGTAAAATTAAAAGTTTAGAAAAGCGCTGAGAATTAAATGCAACATCTTTATCTTAGCAAAACCCTATTTAAGTACATAGGCTGTTTATTGTATCCAGTTGTGGTAAATGTAACATTCTTGTTCAGAAAATGTTTCCAAAATTACTTCAGTCTACAAGTAACATTGTGAATGCAAACAAAAATAATTTTCTGTTTTGTAACAAAGATATTTTGTTACGTATTAAAACAAATGAAAATGTTAAGAAATCTGCTGGGACCATGGTTCAGGCCAATCAAGTGACAAGCAAATAAAAATTTCACCTTGACCATAATAATATCTTCCCACTCAACCAAAACTTGTCAATCAAGCTTATAACACAATCAATCACCTTCATGCCAACAGCATAATCACACACATACACAGTATGCTAGTTCAGCTATTGAGCCAAATGTATGTACAGAGATGGTCCAATTTACCATCTACACAACTTCAATGGCCTTCAAGGAAGGATCAATTACCAGTTGGGTACCAATATAATGAATCAGAATGTAAAAAAATAAAAACTGACAGATTATGGGATTTGCCCCAAGTACGTTGAAACTTGGTATCTGAGGATAACCCTTTACCAACTGAGAAAGTAGAACTCTGGTCCCAAGCATATAACTCCTCACACTGACCATTATAAGGTTTGCTTCTATAGTTAAACAGAACTAACAATGCCCTGTGATAGAGTTTTAATACACCAGTAAAATCAAGTGTACTGATACATGATTTACTAGTTCACAACTGTAATGTAACTATTAAGCTTAGAGCACAAGTAATTGAACGAAAAGGTTGGAAGCTTACCTGTACATACAGAGTTATTTTTACAGTGTTTTCTTTTTTCTGTAATTAAAAATGTTTGCAGTGATTTTTCCTGATGCTGTGGTGGTTTTGAACACTTAATTTTATTTGACAGTATATACTGAAAAACTTTATTTATCTTAATTTTTGATGTTGTTTGGTGTGAGAAGTAACATGGATAGGACAAATTGCCTTTTCTTCACTTTGTTTTCCCCTTGTTTCAATAATTAAATAAACAGATCATCTAAAAGAAAATTTCAAGTTTGAACAGTTAAATCAAATATCCCCTGACTCTTCTTTACTACTGAGAAAACAAGTTCAAAACTTGAAGCCTTTTTCAGTACATACAGCTTAATTTTTATACCAGGTATCATTTTAACATTCCATCTCTGCATTACTTTCAACATGTTTGTACTCTTCTGGTTGAAAAATGTGTAAAACTACACACAGAATAGAATTCCTTGTAAGATGTCACAAATGTCTGATAAAGTTATAACCATTTTGTTCTTAGAATCAAAATTCCTAAAAATACATGCAGAAGCAATAACTGAATATACTTTTTCTTTACTGCAGTTGATTAAAACCTCACTACAAGGCTTTACAGTTTTATCAACAACCACATCTATATTATTTTCTTTTTACTTAACACCAACCATAATTTGCAAAGTATACTCAGTTGTTTCAAACATAGGAACACTTCATAAATAGTTACAATAGGCTTATGAACAGAAACACACACAAGAATTTCAAGTTAAAAATACATAAAACTTTTATATGTAACTTAAGTACTGCCAAGTAATTCAAAACATTTTCTAAACAAATGTAAGGTTTCAACAAAGTGATTGACGTTAAAAAGGTGCACGTTGGACTACTTCTGTACTTTTTAAGTGCCATTTTTATGGCAGCTTTTAATCAAGGAGTTGTTAAAGTAACTTATGAGATATTAAGTTGCTCATGTCCTTTCTGATAGTATCAACTTCTCAGAAGTATTTGACAAGTGTGCAAGCAACAGCTGCCATCTCCAGAAAAATCCACCTTCACATTTCTCTGCAGCTAGTTCCATTTGTTCTTCAGTGCTTTATTTATTTCTTTGATAACATTTCTCCCCCACCTACAAGTTATTTTTGCCATTCTTGTGTATTTAAAAGATCACTACTGTGCAGCTAGTTCACTATCAGACAATATGCTTCAAGAATAAATGATAATGGGTTAAGAGCCAAAACTTTATTGGGGTTATATCTGATCCTATAATTTCCCAACAATTATTACACTCCGTTCAAACAAGTAACAGTTTACAAAATTCCAGTTTCAAATGTATACTGCTAGATGCTGTGGATAAATAGCAATGTATTGAATCACAAATTCAGTGCTTAACTATTTCAATTTCAACACCTTCCCTCTCCACAACTTTATATATAATTAGAATGTGCACAGACATTAATTGCTGAATGAAAGGATGTGGATTTCAAGATAAATTTAATCATTAATTTGGTGATTCAGAAATCACTGTTTATTATATGATGCAAGGTCTTGTGCACTGTATGAGGTTGATATTTTACCTAAGAATAACAACACTATACCCAAAAGTATTTGAACATTTTACAATCTTGAATAAAAATCCATTATATTTGCTTGATACAAAATAAATGTTGAAAAAAACAAAAGAAAAAATACATATATATATATATTTTTTTTTTATTTGGATCACTATTCATTGCATTCTTTATGCAAACTTATTGGCAAAAACAACTATCTTATTTTCATACATACATACACAATATCACCATCTTGGTTCTACATCTCATTTCTTCAAAATGTACATATAATGTATGCCTTCAAAAAATGTGACCAAACTGATTGTAGCTTCGATTACACAATAATTACCTTGCAAGGTAATGTATTTAAAAATATGAACAGGTACACATATTTGTCCTCACAACCTAAAACAATTGGGCCTTGAACTTGACCTAATTTTTTTTAATCACTTTTGTCAAGGTAAAAGTTAGTCCAAGACCTGAATATTGTTTTATGTACATAAAGAGTAGTTATAAGTTAGTTGGGTTAATAACAGTTACTATAAACAGTACTACTATTAGTGGTGTTAGTAGAAGTAGTTTACTGTAGCTTAATACTAATAATAGTAGTACTGTTTATAGTAGAGTTGTAGTACCAAACTAAGTTCATAGTACATGTATATCCACTTTACTTTCTAGAGAATCAGTAAATACACTGTATAAACATACAACAGTACTACTTAATGTAGAGAATAATATGCATTGCAACCTTTTACCTTTTAAATCAGAATCTACAAATTTTCCATTTGTTTACATTTTTACTCATTTATAACTATTTAACTATTTAGATAAACTAAATCTCCATTCATTAAGACCCTATAAATAATAGTAATACTAACACATTAACAGAATTATGTAAACCATTGTAGTGTATTAACTATTATTAATATGCATACGATAAAATATAATATCAGTATTATTACTACTATTACTGCTACAAATACTAAATTAATAATAACAGTACTTCTAACATAGTTTCTATGTTAAACTATTATATTCGATTTTTTCTTTGTTACCCATGCAAGCAGTCTTGAAAATTTTCCACAAGTAATACTAATAGTAACTAATGCTATCGAATTTAAAGTGGGTTCCTCGTCATCGTATTTATAAGATTATATCAAATTATTATGAAGATGTAAAAAATAAGCAAACCGCAATACCGCCGCAAACATAAACTGATAAAGGCAGGGCCAAGTTTAGTATTGTAAGCTTACTTTAACGAACACATTAAGTTTAATTAAAATTCCCACTGAATAGTCATTACTATGTTGCTGAGTATGAAGTAATATGACAATACTCAATACTAAAATTAGATAACTTCAAGTTGCAAGTTATAAAAAAGTGGCTGTGTTAATGTTATGTATACAGAAAACTAAAATTTAAAAGATAAAAAATGGTGTGTTTTCAAGTAACATAATGTTTAATAAGCACAACATACCTCTTACATATTTTTCCTCATTACAATATTATCTTCTGAAGTGGATGAGTATTTCAATACGTGTATTTAAAATCGCATTGGTGTGGAATCTTACTAGTACTAGTTGTAGTAGTAATACTGCATTCCTTCTCCCTTTCCCTGATTTCATGTCATAGGCCTATATCTGCCATAATGAATAACGCCTCTTCGGTCACGTGACAAACCCGGTATATTACGGTGACATCTTGTAATACTTCACTTCATTAATAGGAAATATTCGACAGAATTGAATGCAAAAATGTGTGGGAGGGGGAGGTGGGGTAATAAAACAATGCTTATATCTTTACTGATTATTTTATGTTATAGCTACGCCTAAGTAAACGCATGTTGCAAATGTAAACAATTAGAAAACAAAATATGATTGCTTAGGATTCTTGTTCAAACAGCATGTGAATTTTCACAAGAAACTTCAACAGCAAAATAAAAAAAATACTGTATAATAGTAAATACAAAGATATATAAATTTAGAAATGAGTTACTTAGAAAAGTTTTATCTAAAAAATAATTACGTAGAGTGAAAGTTAGGAATAAGTATAATCACAATAACTTATGATGTAATAAACAAATAAATCGATAAGAATTTTGTATTCTGCTCAATTTCATCAGTCATATACCTTCACTTTTTTTAACGTTCTCCCGACGGGAAAGCGAAAAGTCTACAAACTTATATCGCTAAAATCTAGAGTTCGATTCCCCGTAGTGGACAGCAGATATCCCAATGTGGTTTTATTATAAAATAAATAACAAAAACTAGTCTTTTTTTTTTAAACGATGCTCTCATCGTAATCCTATTAATACTACGGATTTGCCAGCTTAGGAAATTAAGAATAAGTGTAAATATACATTCTGATTAGAAATGTAAAATATCATTCTGTAGACATGATTTTATTCAGGTATTACAAATATTAAAATAGAAATTACTCAATAAAATTTAGCCCAATGAAGTTACAAACTGGTTACTACCTTAATAGTGACTTACCTCTCATTACTTTGACACAAACACTATACGAACTATTTTTTAGGTTTGAATTAGCGTTCATGTAATTGCAACAATACACAACAAAAACTTAATTTGACAACTAGTCAGTATTGTGAAAAAAAACAGACAAGGAATAAAAAAAAAACATACTTATGTTCCACTGGCTATTTTTTCGATAAAATTCTTATTCATATTTTCTCAGAGCAACCCTACATAATAAGTTCTCTGTCGACCACGAGGAATTGATTCCCGGATTTTAACGTTGATCCACTAGGAGAATTTTCGATAAAATATACGACTGTTACGGTACAAGCTCTTTGTTAATGGTGGGTTAATACTAAATTTTTGTGCTTGCTAGTTATACAAATGTGCATCTAATTAATACTTTGCAAATCCCTATGTAGTTCTTTTAATATATAGAAATATCAAAGCCGGCATACTTTATTTGAAATTTGAAGAGCTTTAAGTCTAGCAATGAAAGTGTCTAAAATGCAAGCAATTAAAATATTTAAAAACCGCATTGTTATATGGAGTCAAATAATCTCAATTAATTGAAAATCAGCACTCCTACTCAGTTTCGAAGTGTTAAAATTTGATAGATAATTTATAAATCTATTGAATTTCAGATAGCTATAGTGTTTGAAGCAATACAATTTTTGCACGACTATAGATAATAAATTTTCTATATTTAAGATTAAAGCTACAAACAACTTAATTTGTCTCAAACTGTGACATTTCTAAGATCTGATTACAGAAACGCATTTAGATTAAGTCCTTCTATTATCAATATTTTGATGTACCCAGTTTAGAAGTCATGGGATCTTTCGAAGTAGTAATCCTCAATTATATTTATCCATGTTTATTTTACTTGTGAACTCCTTTCACAGTTTTGGATAAAACAACTAGAAGTTTTGCATTTAGGCTCTTGACATCACATAGTATAAATAATCGAAGAGAAAACTGCTAAAGAATCTCGAAGGGGACCCAAAAATGAGGGCCAAGAGGCTTAGGGTTTTCAAGTTTGTCTCAATCGTTTTACTTGGAGATTGATATTAACATATAAAATCAAAGGAATTTATGCATATAATGGGTTAAACCGGCCAGATCAGAGATCCCCGTCGTTTAGGCACAGCAGTTCCTAATTTGGAACTGCGGATCTAAAGAAGGACAATCAGCGGGCAACGCTCCCATCCGCAGCTGAAATTACGAAGTTCGTTTGTTGGCACCATATCTTGAATCCAAGACACTCGGATCCCCCAATTCGACCCTCTAAGAGGCTACATTCGATATGTTTAAATTTTCAGAGAAACTGGGAGACTGAAAGCGTTTTGCAGGATCTCAGTATTGACTATATGGATTTACTTGAAAATTGAAAAGAACACGCAAATGGTCTTTTAGAACATGATGTGTAACATCTTTTGTGTAGTTGTTACTCCCTGGGAATGTTTCATGTATAATACTAGTTTAAGGTGAATTATGTGCATTACACTTTTTTCTTTCCTAAAACGATGAATTTCACTGTACACGTGTATACAGGAAAAATAAAGCACCTCTCAGGAAGTACAAAAATTACAAACCAATAATTATATTTGATAGTATCTATACGATCAATGATACTATTTGTAACTATTTTCTTGACTAACGGTCTGTCTGTTTGTCGCACCCATACAAGAATTTTGTTCAGTTTTACAAAAAACAAAAACATTATGCAATTTAGTTGACGTTAAAAAAGTTTTTTAATTAATATAATTTTCATCATTATCGAAAGGTGATTGTGTAAGAAATAGGCTTATAATGGCAAAATTGGGGAATCGCAAAGATTTCTCTTCGTTTGTTTGTTTCAGAACAAAGCTACATTGGCCTATCTGCTGTGTTCACTCTGGGGAATTGAACCCCGGATTTTAGTGTTGTGTGTAAACTTACCGCTCTCTCACCGAGCAATATTTATCTAAGAAATAAATGAAGCATTTATTATCAATTGATGAGTAGAATGGTTTTAGTTTAACCTAGAAAACTATAACTCGGTGTTTTATTTGTTAAATACACATAATCAATAATTACTATAGAAATTATTTATTAACTTAATATCGTGCTTCAGAAATTATGAGAAACTATTGCCATCTGTTGACAACTTTTAACAATTATATTAGAGACCATGTTCTCTCAGCCATGTTCTCATACATTACTCACATATACATGTATTTATATTAACAATCTCTTGCTTAAGGAATATCTTATAATTTTTAAAGATTATCTTATTCTAAAAATTCTCTCAGTGATTTGCAACATCTTTAGAAAACTTGACAAAATAAGTTAACAATTTCTAAATATCGTATAAGTTTCGAAATATTTGCTCTTACATTATACGACGAGCATACAGAAACACTATCATTTTTGGTTACTTGTGATGGAAAAATAACTTCTATTATGTATCTTATATACGCATATATAAATACGCAACTATACTTCAGGATGAATGAAGTTGGTTGACAATTGCTCAATTAGTACAGTAATGCAGCCAATGTTGCGTAAGAATGTTAAAGACATTGACATGTTATACGTTGATACTTTACGTGATTTTTTTGCGTCACCTTTCCTTGTAATTTTTTGTCAGAATTATTCAAGTAAAAGGTAACTGTGATTGTACGATAATAAACAAAAATACTTTCCATTGCTCAAATAGAAATGAAGCTTAATAATAATAATTCAAAATGAACTTTTACTTTTGGCTTTACTGATAAAAATTACATTGATACATCAAGCTGTGCCTTTCGAGCTCTCTAGATGCGAATTCTTTAATAATTGCTGAATATTCTATAACTTTTGCTATCTCATCTTCCATACAAATAATGGAAAACCTTACAAAACAGTCTTCCATTGGCTCAACGGTAAGGTTGAAGGTTTAAACGTTCAAAATCGGTTTCCACTACTTGAGGTGGGCACATCATAGATGGCTCATTATGTAACTTTGCGCTTAACAACAAACAAGTTACAAAGAACTTTTTGCTTATACTGGACCTCACAAATGGCTATGCCGTAGCCGTTTTTAAATTCAGTTTGTGCAAGAGATAACGCACCAACTCCATCCTTTTAAATAATTGCACCATTAGTAAGTGAAACAAGAGAATAACCTTTATGAATATAACATCATACTGCTGCTAATGTAGAGGTGATTCCAACATGTTTAATGTTATAAAGCTACTGATACGATAACTGAAGGTCTTTCAAGGTGCTGCTCAAACTAAAAGCACAAAAATCTACCCTTTCTATTTCAATAAAACTATAGTATAATTACATATATGAGTTTTGTGCACATTAAAGTTTTTCCAGCGATTGTTTAGTACGTTTAGTTTGTTTTGAATTTAACCCAAAACTACAGGAGGGCTACCTGCGCTAACTGTCCCTAATTTAGCAATGACCACAAGTTTAGCTGCCGCTTCATTAGTCATGTTAACAAACAGAGACACAGTTATTGACATTCCTGACATGGAATACCCGGACATTTTCAGTTATCTAGTTTTTAGAGCCTCATATTGAAGGCATACAAAGTTTAGATGTCTATAAATACTTTGTGACAGGATGCATTTGAACGGATTTGTCGTGAAGGATCTTGTGCACACACAACTTGTGTAACTCTTCCAGACGGGAAATCCTTCTTGAGTCTGTTACTTACTGTTGCCTGGAGCACGTAGACAGCATTTGCCAGTGACTTTTTGTTCATAGATTCCCACCTGTTACAAGATGGTGCCCTTTACCTACCACGGCTGGTGTATGAGTTGTTGCAGGTTTTTTCTCCCTCAAGTTTATCAATATTTCTTTTTTTTCTAAAGCCTGTAAGTACAAAGGATATCATTGTCATGGACAACCCAAATCCTCGATAAGAAAACATTTTTTACGATTTGAGTGTATAAATATTTTGTGTTGGAAAGTGCTGTTACATGCATTTTCGAAAACGATCAATTTTCGGTTGTATTACACTATCTACAAAAAAACAACCAATGTCAAAATGTAGTTTTGACACATTTTGTTCAACCGCGACTTTATATTGGCTGTGAGTGTTAAGTGACTTGCTGATTTGTATAAAAACAATCGTTTTATTATAAAGTACTTAACCCTCTTTACAAATGTTGCATAAATTGCTTACATATTTGTCAAACCTGTCTTGGTGTCTGTTCTTCCATTTCTTAACACAAATTATATATACATTATTAAGCTTATTCCAGTAACTCATGGAGTCGTCTGACACAGTATACTTATAAATTTGATAGAATGTTACACCTAGTCATTGAATACATTATGTTATTTAGAACTTAAAATGATTGTTATATTTATAAGTTGAAATAATTAATGTTTGGCCAATTAAAAAAATGTTATAATTAAAGGTGGAAAGCATGCTTTTCTAAAAATTTTAAAGCATTTTTAGTGTTTTAAAAGTGTAGGAGAGGGGACTTGTTTTTTTTTTTGTTATGAATAAAGCTCAACTGTGCCAACCGCGGGTATAGAAACCACATTTTTAGCGTTATAAATTTTCAGACTTACCGGTGGGTGAGATCGACTAAAAGATTTTTATTTAAATGAATGAAATTGCTAATGGTCGCAGATTCTTGAATCTAAATAAATATATTTTTTAACTTAAATAATATTTTACTTCAAACTTGTAAGTATTCCCTTTGTGTAGATGTTCGATAATAAATTATATATTAACTTTAATGGAAATATTAAGACAGCAAGTCTTTAGAACTATAATTCCATATAGGTAGATAGTCAGTAGTAACCTAGAAACTTGCCTTCTGTGATTGACAGTTTTGTTGAATTTTAGCACAGGTGGAGGGCATCGTGTGCATTTATGGTGGAAATTATATCGTTTTGATAATACTACTAATAATATTATCTTCACTTCCAAATGCAAAACCTTTGTATTACTTTTTAATAGAAATAGGAAATATAATCCTTTCATCTTCCAAAGGAAATGAATAGAAAAGTAATTTTAACTTGTTTGACCAATCCAACTGTAGCAGATCATCATGTAGGCTATGATTGTAGTTGAATATTTCGACTTTTTACGGTATTATTTACGAACAAAAAAGTATGTTGTATGTAAAGTATGTAAAGTTTAGTGCATACTAACAGTTGTTTATATTAACCCTGATGAAGCCGCAAAGGCGAAACGTTGTTTGAAATATTTATTCTTTTATATTTATCTGGAGTGTAAAGGTTATTTTTCTAAACTTTTATCAAAATATGCAAATCCCTCCAGTATGCATTACGAAGACAACAACAACAAAAGTATCTAATAAGTATTCTGGAAATGTGTAGGTTCCTTCTTCAACGAAAATTTTGATTTTTTATTTTGATATTTACAGTGGATTGAAGTGTTGCCAAAAAGGGTAAAATGAAAATAAAAACGTATAATAGTTTAAAGCTATAATTTCATGTTATTGTAACACAAAAATGCACATTTTGAGTTTAGTTGAATGGAGTCTAATGAGAAGAGTACCTTAAAATGTAAGGTTTAGTTGATGTGATAGCTAAAATTATTCTACAAAGCACTCATTATAGGGGGGATAATTATATTTAATCTTCTAGAAAGTTGTTGTGTGCTTTGAGACTTATGACAAATATTTAACTGGTTTCTGAAAGAGTTTTTGTTTTCCTTACCACAGTAAATTTAAATATTACTTTATAAAGTATTTATGGATGTATTATGCTATTTTGTTTCTAGTTTTCGTACTGTGAATTGAAATATTTATGGAATAGTTTGCTTGCTGAATGGAGTTTATTGTGGTTATTTGCAATTGTTTGTTTATATAACTACACTGATTTAAAAGTTTACATTTAATTTTGTTGGCATTTGTAGCTTGTTGATCACAAATTTCTAACGGTTCATCTTTATCTTGATTATTGTTAAGTAACAGATTTTAACTTGTTTATTGTCGGATATACAATATATAATATCTATTGTTACACTGTTTCACATAAGTATTACACACCTTATGTCTGATAATAAATAAATTTTAAGTTTTACGTAATAGGTTTCTGGCTTTTAATTATTTGGATTTCGTCATTCAGTTTTGTATTTATGATCTTTTAGATTTGTAGTTTGTACTTGCTTTCCTTAAAACTGCATTACATTTAAGCACAAAATGTATATAGTCTGCTTCATTGTATAGGGTTTAGCATAGATATAGACATCTATTTTTCAATGTAGCTTTTGTGAACCTGTTTACCTTTCTTTGCAACTTCTGTTGTCATTTTAAATTTGAAAACTACTAGTGTCATTATCAGTTATGCATGGTTTGAGTTAATTATAACTTTTCATGGTTAGGTTAGAAATCAGTTTTCTTTTCTTTTTACATCCTAATATTTTTTCATCAAATAATTTCAATTATTATTAAAATGTTTTATTTGTAAGAAAAAGTTATCCATGACTTTTTTTATTACATTAAAGTAGGAACTATCATTTATTCTCACAAGTCACTAAATTGATTATAAATATAATAAAATATGTTTCCGTCTAGACCAACCTGGCCAAGGCTATTTTCCGGGAGGCAGGTTAGATAGAGATTCCTTGAACAATTTTATGAAGGTATGGTTTCTTTGTGCAACTGATAGTTTATTAAATTTGTTTTATATTGTGCCAACTTGAGTTTTTTATTTTTTAGAATCATCTCCCATTTCTTCCAAGTTAATCCACCTTGACTTTCCTCGAGATGATAAAATAAAAAAATTCATATTTCTATAATATCTGACAATTACATGAATTACTGACTTTCTCTTGTTTACTTGTTAGATGTTACCCATTTAAACAAGGCTTGGGCCTGAGCTTATGGGTTTGTGAGAAATTTCAGCAAACTTTATCTTTGCATACTTGTAGCCATGCAGCCTGAATAGATGCCTTATTTAAAAACTGTTATATCACTCATTTGTTCATGATTATCATAAAATATAACACACAAAGGTTCTGTATGTTCTTTGTTAGGTTCTGCTTGACACAAATATTAGTTGTCAAGTTTATTTTTCCCATAGCATGCTGGTAATTACCAAATGCATTAAACAAGGGGTGGTTTGTAGATAACTGAAAATTGATATCTTACTTATGTCTTAATCTAATATATAGTTATATGGTATAAATAACCAGGTAATTTATCCAACTTTATTTTTCAGCTCTGCCAGAAGGAAGTAGTGATAATCACTGCACATTGTAGTGTTTAAACATTGATTTTAATATAATCTGGCCTAAAAGGTGTAATGAGGGTTGAGTTTGTATGATCAAATTATAGAAATACAAACCTACTTCACAGTGTAATTCGTAAATTCTATCAATCTTCTTTACAGTGAATTTTTTACATTATATACTAATTTATGGAATAAAGCATGAGCACCCATATCTGCTTTCATATATATATGTTGTTGTTTGTTCTTGTAAAAGGAAGGGAAAAGCTTTGTTCTATAAATTAGTATTTGTTTATTATTAAAACTTTGGTCAGGATGTTTTTAACACTTACCTTTTTTGTATGTACATTTTTAATGAAGTGTATCTCCTGTTGTTGTAGTTTTTTTTGGGGGGTGAATGTTTTGTTTATCCTGCACTTACCAGGTTAGTTAATCATTTCAAAATACTAATATTTTTTTGGTCTTTTCTTAAAACAGGAAATAAAGAAACATCCCTACTTGACTGATGAAGATGCAGCTTGCTTGGCAGCAGCTCGACTAACGGAGCAGCATGAACATAGCCGAATGTGGTACCGAGTTGGAGCGGTTCGAAGCATAAGTGGGGGCAGGAAAACAAAACCTCGTTTGAGCCATAAGCTGCACCAGGTATAATATATACATATTATATACTATATGAATTTATGATCCAGTGTGGGATTGCTAAATTTGTTTATTTATTTTGAAGTTAAGGGTTAAACTTATAGGGGGAATAAAGATCAGGGTAGGAACTTGTCTGTTTGGGGCTTGAGCATTGGTTTCTTAGCTTAAATATGAGCCAAATGTTCTGTGTTCAAGCCCTAGTCATAGCAAGTTTCTTAGCATTTAGTTATCAGTAAGCTTAATTTTTAGCCTATTACAGTAGAAACTGAAATTTTGTATCACTTGTAAACTTAAAGCAATGTTTCTGGTTGTACTATCAAAAACAACATACAATTATAAATGAAAACCAACTAAAACTTTTTCAACAGATATATTACATTCATATCTAATGTTATTTTGTGAAAACCCTTTAACTTTAAATTTGTATTTTTGCAGTTCCTAGAAACAATTTAAATTAAGATATAAACTGCTTTTCCATGTATATTCTAAATTGACTTCATTAATTCTCAAATGTCTAGATTTAGACTAACTGTATTCCCTCATTCAAATTAACTAAGCAATGCAAGGAGATGATCCGTGAACTGATGGTGTTGAGTGATGAAGAAAATTCCATTTCAAAGGTTTAGTCAATCTTAGCGTTTTGTCAGTGAAATTTCTCCTCCATTTGTTTTTTATGCCCCTGGTGACTTACTTTTCTTGCATGTCTTGGATAATGCATTGCTTGGTATCCTTTGTTTCCTTCATATTTATTGTGATGTACTGAATGGATTTGTTGACACTAACTCAAAACCTCCAAAACATATTCTTAATATTTATTACGTTTCAGTATCAAAATTTACATACATTGAATCAATGGCGATTTAGGAATTGGTCATTCCAGTTCTTTCAAATAATGCTGTAAAATATTTATTTTGGATCATTGTTTGATGATTTTTAATATATTCAAATTAATCCACATGGTAAATACATTTATAAGGTAATGTTGCAAAGTTGTTGTTGTTGTTTTGAGGTATTATTGCATGGTGATCATTGGGCATGAATCAGTAATTTTCTGGTGCTCTATTTTAATTAATTGCATTGTGTAACCTTAAAACTATAAGGTCTAATACTGGTAACATCCCATTAGATTAATTTTCATTCAAGGAACTACTTAACAATATCTGCATGAATTTTTGTGTAACCATTTAAGTGATCTTGTACTTTTCTGAAGATCGTTATCTGCTCATGATATTATATGTGTATTAGAAACGTTATAATTAAAATTATTTTAAAGTTTTTTTAATATACACTTAAATATGTTACATTTTTCTTTTGTCAGATATTGTAAATGATGTTTTAAAATTAAGAAATTCAAAGTTTACAGGTGAATCTCTATAAACTGCAGGAAAATGTTAGTTTTGGAAGCCAATTCATTTTTATTGTGATAATATTAGATGTACACGTACTTCTGCTTTTAGCCAATTCTCTTGCCTGCTGTGGTTACTATACCAAAAATATCTACATCATACGTTAAGAAAACAAGACCAATAAAAAGGAACGTCGAGAGCCAGCACGGGCCCCGGGGCAAACATCCTCGCCGGGCCTTCTTTCTCTGTCTCTTATTTAACATTTTCAAGAATTTATTAAAAAGAAGATCCTAAATTATGACAGCAACGAGCTCATAAACCAGACAAAATCATAGCAGTAGCCGTTTTTACCTCACAGTATAAGCATAAAAACGTTAATAA